GACCAGACCTGTTTTATTTTGGCGTCAATGTCGCTGACCCTGAGTGGTGGTCTGATTAATAAAGCTAATTAGTTTCCCTCAGTAGGTGGGCCATTTTGCAGTAAATAGTTTTTTTATGGTAAACAACACAGGTGTGGGTGTAGATATTTGTTGTATCTTACGTTCTTGGTAGGTAGTGAAAAGGATGCGGAAGCGGCTTTTGCGGCTCGCCTCATCCGCCCACATGCGGATGACACCCAGCGTGGAGACCAGCATGATGTCGTTGGCCACCGTGGAGCAGAACTTGCTCTTCAGGTCTTCCACCGAACTGAGATGAGACAGGATGAGATAAGAATTCATGGTTTATTATATAGTAGCATGGTTATTGGCTGTGCATTTCAATAATCCACAATATTAAACACAGGCCCAGAGCAGCCATGGTTGCTCATATTATTTTATTGTGATCACAACTTTATAATCTCAAGATAACAAGTTAGATGGTTTGGGAACTCATATTTGGTTTTAAGCACATTACAGTTAATTATTCCGTTATATTCTAATCTCAAAATATCAAATATTGTTTTCTTTGACCATGATTCTAATATCCTATTAAATTGAGATAAGAACAAGTTATGTTTTTGTGAAATATATCTCTAATACGAGAAACTGTGTCCAGGCAAGCAGCCGTTTTTTCCTGCTACAGACGAGTTGAAACCAAATGCAGCCCAACTCACAGTGCGTCGAGGCTTCAAAACTCCACAAAACAATCGGTGACGTCATGATAGTTTCCCAATTGGGTTGATCGGAAGTTGCTGTATTTTTTACTTTTTAAAGAACACCCTCAGAATTGAGCTTTACAGTGATGCTTTTGATAAGAGTAAGAAAACTATTTCCATACATTTAAATAAAAGAAATTGCTATATTTATGAGTACGACTATTGACACCTTTTAAAAAGTACATTATCTGTACCCGATACTCGTTTCAGTCGAGTACTTGCTCAAGCCTGCTGCTGGTTGTGGCTGAATATTTACTATACAGACATGAGAGTACTGTCATTTAACTCTTTGCAAGTGAACACATTTCTGATAAATGTTTTAGACTATTCTCTTAATTGTAACTGAGAAACACTTACTTGAAATGTGTCTTTAAGTGAAAGTAAAAATTAAATTACTCAAGCCTGTGTCAGAAATTGATTTCTGTAAAGTAAAAATTTGATCTGTTCATCAATCTTTGTCTTTGTTCTGTTACCCAGTCGGTTAGTGAGGCCAACCTGACATGGACACAATAGGACAAAGTAACTATATCTTGACAAAACCATGAATTTCTTGCCCTTTCATAATTAAATATTTAAGACTTCACCAGAAAAAAACATTGTGATCATAAGATAAAGGGCCTAAAATTAAGGAGCAACTGAGCCCACTTTGAGCCTCTGCATGATTTATCAAAATGAAAGAGAAAGTCACACCTGCCACCATCATACACTGCCACAAAATTGCGCTTGCATTCATTGGAATTGGCCATCTCATAGTCGAGAAAACGCAGGTAGATCTGTCCAATGCGAGGAGGCAGTGAGGAGGGAAAATACAAAGAGAAAAAGCAGAGATCAAATGAGGAAATTTAAGATGACAGAGGAAAAAGGTGAACAAAACAGAACAGAGAGGGGTGACAGGAAAGATTTCAGCTCTGTCCTGTGCATCTTACTCATTATCCCAGTGCCTGATATAGCAGTTCTGTAATGAAATAAGACTGACAGACTGCAGCTTGTACAAAGTCATTACATACGCATATCAAACGAGGACTCAGAGACAGACAGAGTCTATTAGCTTTAGACTCATTATCCATATCTGTTGAGATAAAGCATTACACTAAACCTACAACCTTGTTAAACTTTAAAGAGACCTTGGACATTTTGCCACAAGATTTGGATGTTCAAGAGAGAAAATGTCATCCACTTAGAGACCCTTCCTTTGAAATTCAGTCTAAACTTTCAAAACATATACAGCATATAACAAAGTCTTTCATGAGCAATATATACAGTATATGGACTATTTTATTATCCCACAGTAGCAATACCTTGTTTAATGAAATATCCACCTTGCTATCCACCTTGACTCTTCACAACAGCCATTCTAGGTGAAACTAACACTTCCTGATTGCCTGCGCATCAGTGTCTATCACTCATTCATCAGGCTGAGATCGCCCAATCACAGCTTATGGTTCTGGTCGGCTGCGCACAGCACTCGCCATCATTACGGTTAATGAGTGGACCGCTCCCGAACTGTGACAGGGAAATGTGACGCTTTAAATGCCCAAAGACGGAAGCTGCAGATGGAGCAGGATAATAGACCCCGCAATGTCAGCTTGGCTTCAACAACTTGACATGTGAAATGGATCGGAGGGGGAAAACAAGCTAGCCAATTCCCCCAGAGTTCTCATATTGGTGTCTATAATCGTCCAAGATTTGGCATATTCAGCCACTGTTTTGGCTATATTGGCTTTGTCACAAGAATCAGGGCATTTTTTCTCTTCCATGCTGTGATACTGGAATAAAATATTGCTCAATGTCAGAGCAAAGTTGCAAAGATGAATGTACATATATACAGCACTGTGCGGGGGCAGTATGTGCCTTACCTAAATTTAATTTGTCGCAGAGACTGTATAGACTTGTATTGATATTAAAATGTCTTAATCCCTGCAGGGAGGGCTGGAAGATGGAAGACAATTTCTTAGCATACGTCACTGAGGAGTGCTGTTGTGGTCTCTTCATTATTGCATGGATTTCCATTTCCTTTTAACGTGATTAAAAGATTGAGATAGTGGATATAAAACTTGGTTTCTCAATAGGGTGGATGACACAGTGATTAGGTCAGTGATCTGAGAGAAACATCATGTGACACTGTAGGAACTTACATAAAAGAATGCTGCAAAAGATGTCAGAAATATGAAGAAATTTAAAGAAAACTGTCACAAAAACAAGTTAAGTACAAAGTATTTGTTATTCATGGATGATATTTAAAAATGGCTCCATTCCATGCGGCATGTGGCCAAAGAAGTCTGATTTAATGTGTTATTTTTAAGGTTACAGTCAAGGTTAAGGTTATGGTTAGGTGCTCTCAGCCAACTTTGTCTCCATTTGTTTAATAGTTCAAGGGGCCAATAATGGGCAAAAGTACCTATAAGCATTTTAATTTGGTCACTTGGCCCAGTCAAAGTGACGGCAAATTAGACACAAAGTTTCCCACCCACAGCACAAAGAATGCAGTTAATGCAGCAGTCTGTAACCAATAAAAGTTCATTCAATTAGGGGGGACTAATTACAAATACAAAACATTGTTGATGAAGTGTACATTCAACTTTTTGAATCGATGTAATTTGGTGGTAATAGCTGATTAAAGCAATGAACCACCAATCACTAAAGAGCATAATCCCCCAGCTTGACCATTATAACTGATTCTGAATGGAATCATGAGGCTGCTGGTGGTGTTGGAGAAGTTGGTAGCTGGATTTTTGCATTGATTTGCATTCAACATCTGCTTGATGCAAGATTTTTATATCCTATTGACTTTGGCTGATTTGGATAATAATTCAGGCCAGCAATCTAACATCAGCCCCATGCAGATTTCCACACGTTAATAACAGGCCACGTATACTGTAGCCATTTGTGGAAATATCTTTTCTGTGTACTATTTGTAAGTATAATTTTGATTTATTACTACACACAAAAACTGCTTCAAAAAAACAGAGACTTGAAGTTTGGTACAGTCGTTCATGTCCTCCTGAGGCTGAAATTTACTCACTTCCTCTGACTTCTTATCTAGCGCCATCATTTGGTCAGAATTTTCATCTGTCCTATACTTTGGCTTATGACTTAATAATAAAAAAATAAATGTAAATACCATCAGCCTCAGTTGTAATTTGTGTTAAGCAAATGTTAGCATGCTCAAATAAAGACCTCCCCCGGGTTTTTTATTTTTATTTTTTGGGGCTTTTATTGCCTTTTATGAT